TTCTGGGGAAGCTTGGGGTTTTTTTGCCTCCCGTGTTGAAAAACAAAATCAGAGATGTGTCATCCAGCTGAATTCTGCATGGTGGTGAGGGTGATGCTGAAACCAGGGAATTGAACAAAGAACCAGTGCAAATTGGCTCTGTTTTAATTGAAGCGAACCTTAAAGCTATTTTTAAGCCCTTAAACTAAACTAAAAGTGAACAGCAGCACCTTTATCAATTTTGAACATAAGCTAACCCAAAAACTGACGCCCTGCCTAAATGCTGTCTATCTATTAACATCTGGTAGCATTTTTAGCCAACATGGTCTTTATCACAGCCCCTTCCATTCTCTCATGTATGCTGAGTGTGTGCATTGCAAACCTTAGGGCCCAAGGATTTCTAAAGAAGGCTATTTTGGAATTCATGTATCCGTCACAGCTGTTTAAGGAGAGTTGCATCCACACTGCTCCAAGTGGAAGTTGAGGTTACTGCTCCTTCCCTACGCGATCAACATAAATAGCCCCTAAAGAGTTTAAACTATGTGCTTGTTGGTCACAACTTCTGGAATAAGGAAAATCCTTGTGTTGGGGACTCTGAAGTGGGTCACCTGACTATAAGAAGGGAGAGACCAGATTTAATTAAGTAAACTTAATTTCTTTCATTACTGAAGGTGTAGCTTTTTATTATTTTAATACCTATCTAAATCTTGGCAATTATGCATGTTTTTATATGCTTTTGAGATAAGTGGGCATCATTAAAACCTAATTCTCAGTACTGGGTGCAAAATCTGTAAGCCAAGATGTCAGAAACTTCTTCTCAAGTAGCCTTGACTTTCCAGTACACTCTAGAATGTCCAGTAAATAAGTCTTTGCTAGCCTGAACAAATTCACTCATAGCTGGAGCAAAAATGGGACCAAGCAAAAAAAAAAAAAAATTTTTTTTTTTTGTTGTTCTCTTTAGGTGTTTGTGAGTTGCAATTTCTGTGGAAAATCAATCTCCTACAGCTGTTCAGCTATTCCTCATCAGGGGCGAGGTTTTAGCCAATACGGAGTTAGCGGTTCGCCAACCAAGTCAAAAGTTACCAGCTGTCCTGGTTGCCGTAAGCCCCTTCCTCGCTGTGCTCTCTGCTTGATAAACATGGGAACACCAGTTTCCAGTTGTCCAGGTATGACACAGTGGGTTTTAGTTACTCAGCTGGAGTACTAGTTAGAGGCCTAATTTAACAGTTCCTGCTGGAAGACCTGTTTCACCTTTTTCTTTCCTTTTGCATTCATACTATAAATATTCAAACTCATCATTTTGAGGGAGGGAAACCATAATTGAAACGTTGTTTGCATCCCATCTGATGTTATGATGAAACCAACATCTCAGTTCTTTGGTGTCAGACAGTATGCACAAGTACTTGGTTCTGACTGTTTTTCCAGTGAGATTGTCAGTGAAATTCCATGGTTAGACAGATGCAAAAGTTCAAGTATTGTGGTGGTCAGTACTGTGAACCTTAAAACCATAAGAAATGGGAAATAAGATTCTTGAGATTGTGGGGACGTTACAGAAATTGTGCAATGTAAATGATTTTTAGCTGGAAGGAGAGAAGAAATTTAATTTGATAGACTTTCTGACCGTATAAAAGAATGTATGGGCCATGCTGTCACAGCTAGGAAATATGACTGGAATCTCGTGATTCTAAACATCTTGAGCTCCATGTTATACCAGGTCTGAATAAAAATGGTTTTGTCCATACTTTTAATTAAGTCAGTCAGGCTCTTGTTATAGAGCCGTGTGCCACTCCGCAGTTGTCATCTATTTAGATCGCCTCACTCTTTCACTGATCTGTTATGGCTTCTTTATTCTAATTGTTTCAATTAATAACTTAGATTTTTGTTGCTTTATCTAGATATATAACATATATATTTGTATTTATTTTTAAAGCGGACACTTCATATGCAAAGTCCATAATTCACTGGAACTTAAATCAAAATGTAAATCACTTGAAAGAGATTGTGTCTGTAAAACTCGTTTAAGAGGCAAGTTTAACATGTCCGTAAGATGTGAAACAACAGCTCAGCAATATAATTCTTGTTTTGCCTTTCCACCAGTTCTTTTCTGTTCAATAATTTTAATGATTTCTTTTTTAAAATCAGGCCACTTTTTCACACGCTATTCCTAATTGCAAATTTGTTCTAATAGTGTGACTGGGACTGAAATACAAATAAAGCATAATGATTTACAAGCATATCTGGGGGGGTGGGTTTGCCTCTGCACAGGAGGATCCAAGTCAGATGAAAAAGTGGATCTTAGCAAAGACAAGAAGTTAGCCCAGTTCAACAACTGGTTTACTTGGTGTCACAACTGTAGGCATGGTGGACATGCTGGGCATATGCTTAGCTGGTTCAGGTGAGCTGATGTTTAAATTTTCCTTATTTCTCATGTGTATGCTGCACTGAGTAGGACATGCCTCCCTTGCTGTATAATGTTGTGCTGGTTTAGAACATGAGCAAAATTTAACTGTGATGCTGAGTTTTTCTGAGATACTATGTCCCTGCATGTACTTACATGTATAAAATACAAAATTCTTGTTAATTTTATTTTACGTGGGTTTGTTTTTCTTTTTTCTGCTATTGCTGTCTAGGGACCACACTGAGTGCCCGGTTTCTGCCTGCTCGTGTAAGTGTATGCAGCTGGATACAACAGGGAATCTCATTCCAGCAGAGACTGTCCAAGCGTAAATATTGTTTGAACATGTGGGGCTCGCTAATGGATGTCCATCATAGTCCAAGCATATGTTTTAGACAAAGGTCGTTTGTGACTTACTGTGAAAAAATAAATTGCTATCTGGTTAGTAAAATTATGTGTGTATGACTGTGCTTGGTAGAAACGGGTATTCCTGAAATGAGCCTCTGGGTACAGTGTGTGGCCCTTGCTCGGGGGATTAAGAAGTTCAGTTCAAAAGCAGTCCTGGAACTGTGGGCTCTTCAGATTTGGTAAAATTTTTAGTAAAGTTTTCAGGGGAATGCTGATTGTCCCTTTCATTTGTTTTCCAAACAAAGCATGCTGTGTTTAGTGAAAAGTGGGCCCTCAAAATAACACCCCTGAACAGTCTTCTTCAGGAGATCACCAAGTGATGCTGTGGATTCCTTCATTCACTGTTCGATCACGCTTTCTCATATGTAAGCAATCATTTCCTTGTAAGTTCATTCAAAATGCCACTGCCAATTGTACTCTACAGATTTTTATTTTAAAGAAAAAAAACCCATTTATTTCTGTTCCCAAGATTTGTTAATAGCAAAGCACTATCTTTGCAAGCTGAGGTCTTATTTAATTTACCTACATACCTAGCTCATGTGAATTGTAATGCTAAAGAATGTAGGGGTTTTGTCCCCTGGTGAAGTCTGTATCCTAGAGAAGAGTTCCCTGAGAAATCGTGTGTCTGTTTCAGTGCAGAGTGCAGGTAAACTACAGGAGTTTTCCTTTGACTGCTAATTTTTAACATAGTACTGTGAAGAGCTGAAATTCAAGAACTGGAGACTTGTTAATATTAAAGTTTTAAACTCAATGCTGAGTTTTGACTATAAAAAATATTTGAAGACTTTTGGATAATCAGCATTTTCCTGTACTTCTGAAGTATGATGGGAGGTGTGAAATCAACCTATATAAATCCTGCTTCTGGTCACTAGTGGACACCAGTCTGTTCCCAGAAGGCTGCACGATTTTCAGTCATTGACCAGAAGTAGTTCCAGCTATGTTACCAGCTGGAATTAAGACTATTTATTAACTTGAGAGAAATTCAATGTTATTTTGTTAATACTGTGCTAGGAGCTAATTGGTATTTTATAGGCAACGAAATTCACACACGTGAATTAGGGAAAAAAACCCTGTTTTAAGGTATGTGATAATAACATCAGTTTACTTGGTGTGTGTTTATTTACAAGTAAAAACAGTAGATGAGTTAACACCTGTGTGCTATGGAATGCTAAACGGAATGTTAGCAATAAACTGGTACTGGATTGATTGGACTGTGAAAATTGATGTTCTAGATGAGAAGACATTGTAATGTACCACTAGCTCTACATGCTGTAGTGTAGCTGCATCAAGATAGAATGTGGAAACGTTTTCTGTACACGCACATGATTGCATTCAGGACTTTGGGTTATATTTTCTGATTTAGCATTAACCTTGTAATAAGTCTGCTGCATTTATTCTGATCTAAAATTCTTGCCTAAGTGACAGAGATCTTTTTAAAGATAAAAAGCGAAGAGGTACATGATATTTGTAGGCATGGGAGAGCAGTTATTTGTTTTTCTTGTTATTTATTTCTCTTTCCGGTATTTTTGCACACTTTATGTTGCCATTGAAGAGCTCTTCAAAATGTTCTCTATTTATATATGGAAGCTGGGGTTTAATGTATGACATCCTGTTTATATAAATACAGGCAATAAAACTTTTGCTTTATGGAAACAAGGTTTTGTACGTGTCGAGGATATGTTTTTATTCCTCTGTAGTAATGTTTAGTACCTTTTCCGGATAAATTTTGTGTCCAGGTGAATGCAACTACTAACTTAAAATGTCTCATTTTCCTATGTAAAGAAAACTAATTTCTAACTTTTTTTACTTGACTATACCTGTGTGTGTCAAATTCTGTCATTTCATTGAATTAGATGCTTACTTTGATACTCAACATGCCTTTGAAATGTTTTGGATTATGAATATGTGCATATTCTGGCACAGTGTAACTTAACTGTTTGGGCTGTTGTAATTGGTAATCAGGCTTTCAGCCTCTAATTGCACTATTTGCAATGTTTACAGAGTAAGAGGTGTATGGTTTTCCATGGTCAGACTTTTTCCTTGTTTTGCTTTTAAATTAATAAAGCTGATTTGGGGGGCGAGTTGTCTTCTAATGAAAAGCATACCTACAGACATTTTGCTAGCTACAGTTACTCTTACATTTACTGTTTTCTGATACCTGCTCAGCTCTGGATTTAACTGCATGAAGGTGGTCTTGCATGCTGAAATGTTTTGATTCTATGGTTCGTGCTGGTTACGTCTGTTTTCATTTCATTGTGCTCCAGCCTTGCCTCTCTTCCCTGATTAAGCACAATCACTTTCTCATGGTAAACACAGGCTGCTTGCAAAGAGCATGAGTTGTGTTAGTGTCTGTGCCCGAGCAAGGGCAGCAGAGTCGGTCTGGTGATGGTGGCTGGTCTGAGTATGACAAGCCTGCAGTGACACCCCAACAAGGCTTCCCCCCACCTCCCCCATGCAGCCCTGAGTTCCTGCACCATCCCTCACTGTGCATCTGCATTTTGGTGGCTGCCCTTGGGATCCCCATTTGAAATTAATTTCCCCAAGAGAATTTGCCAAATTTTAGTCTGTTCCTCTTATTTCACACTCATGGACTGCTTTTGGTACCTTACCCAACTGGGATGCAAAACCCTTCCCACTCTAGGCTGCCAGCAGAGAGGGAAGCCACAGTATCTTGCTGGACCACAAGGATGGTGCTCCCAGCTTTCTTACCTGGGAGCCCTTCTGTCCCACTGCTACAGGGCTTTGAGCAGGAGTGACTCAACCACTGAGTGATGATTTCCATGTCCACCAGCCTCACCAAGGAGAGCTTTGGCTGGACAAAGTGGTGGTACCTGGATTGCAGCATGGTGCTTGTTACAGCAGCAGTCTGCTGACTCCCCAGGAGGGCAGGTGTGATGCAGCATCACTGCCCTCTCACAGCACTGAGATTCCTTTATCCCATGTGTAGGTTCCCCAGGTAAAACTCTCTACAGTGTTATGATGCAGTCGCCCTAGTGACTCCCCTTTGGACAGCGACCCACAGAGCCACAATTCCCCATTTTATCATCTATGAGGTCTGGCAGTTTCTCACACCTTAATCATGTTGGTGCAGTCCTAACTGAGTGTTAGCAGGCCCCACAGTTGTGCCTTTCCGAGGGGTATCTGGAATGGCTAGCAGTTTCCCACACTGCTATCCTGCTTAAGTTCGTATATGACCTGAGCATTCCTCTTCCTTTAATATCAAGGATATCTTACAGTTCCTTGTCCTGTTAGCATAGCCATATAGCCAGGGCAGGCTTCTTCATTTGCATTCAGATGGCTGAAAAGCACATAGCAGAACCTTTTAGTTGTGTACTGCTTGAACAACAAGAGCCATGACTGACACAGGGAAACTGCAGCATTTCCCACTCGGATCTGTTCAACCATTTACACAGAAGACCACCTATGCAAAGGATGGTCTGTATGGGGTAAAGTGCTACCGCCATCTAGTGGCAGACTACGTTATTAGGCCGGGAGAGTCTTGGTAACTAACCGTATGTAACATTTATCTATACATGCACAAAACACCAGTTTTCTGTAGTAGCATGGTACAAAAGACTTTTATAAATGATAGGAATGCATGCATGCAGTTACTCAGAATGACATTTTACTGGGTACTAAAATTGACCCGTGACAGCACTATGGGATTGGTATCTTGTCACATGGACCTCATGCTCTTGTTTGCTATATGGGACTGCCTCCTACTTCAGAAGTCATCCTCCTCCTTCCCAGCAACATTAACTTTGCCACTGTCTGTCCGTCTTCTAAGTAGAGGGGAAAAATCAGATCACCTGCTGACTTCTTATCACAGTTACTGCAGACTGGGTGGATGATAAAGTTTTTAAAACAAACCTGACTGAAAACAGAGATGTCTATAAATAAGCCCAAAGCTAGCAATCTTAATAAGGCACTAAATCTAGCTATTAAACCTGAAACCTGCTTGTATGCAAGGTTACTGAACATGGCTAAGGTTTATTTAAAATACTTTGAAATACTGTATTTAATTCACAGAGAGTATTTCCCAAGTAGGATTTTTCTGTCTCTTAAGGTAACACAATCTAAGTAGAATTCTGCTACGTGCTGTAAGTAGGCTGGATAGTAACAAAACTGGGAACTGAGTTGAAGTTTATGATTTAAGTCACCACGACAAGCTGGCTGAATCGGGCACTTCTGCTTAGGGTCCCACCAAGAATGATGGGAACTCAACAGCACTTGAAATCCCCAAGCCTAACTAGACATCTCCCAAGTGTTTCACGTCAGCACAAAAGGCAAGTACCTTGTACTCTGAGCTACCTGTGTCAGGTAAAATAGAACAGGAGTCACCCTATGTCACTGAAAACAGAACTCTGGCAAGTAACACTGACAAAAAGTTAAACTTTATCAGTTCTTTTTTTATTGGAGACTGTTTTAAAGATGCAAAATGCCCTCCCCATGTTTAATAAATCTATATCAAAGAAAGTAGAATAAAAATTATAATGCAAATTTTAATCACATTAAAAAACATCCAAATGTCTTCAACACAAGTTTCTCGTAAAGTACCCGAGAACTTCTACCACCACCCCTACAAAGATGCCTACAAAACTTCAGTTTCAAGTCCAATCCTGCAAGGGAACACTTCCCATAAATGGAAAAAGGTTAAATATATACAGCAGGATACCCGCAGGAGTGTTCCCCTTGCTGCATAAAACTGATTTTCAAAGAAAGCAGTACAGGGCACAGGTAACAGCATCTTTTCTGTATATTTGCTGGAAATAATTGCAACGTAACAACTTAATGTGCTGTCAGACAAGAAAGCTACAGTACTATTGTTCCCTTTGAAGCTCTAAATATATGCGAAGAAAAAAGTCAGGTATTCCTCCCAGTACCAAACGGGAAGTATTCGGGGAATTCATGAATAATTTTTAGTGCTTCATTGTAGAGTTCCAGATCTGAAACAGGGCAAAGAAAATGATTACAATGCATAAGCTAAGTTCCCCACAAGCAAATGACAGCATGAGAGCTCTGCTTATTTTAAAGCAGTAGAGCTGAGCATTCCCACTCCCCTTCATCCTCCCCCATTTTCCCAAGGCAGTCACACTCTCATTGCTTGCTTTTTGGAGGGTTACTCTTAGGCCTGCTAGCTACACAGGCACACACACGAGGTCCAGTGCAAGGCAAGAACCACGTGGTTGGGAGTGGGAGAATGATCAGGCCTAGGCAATACTCTAGACTGGCTCCAGCTTTGAGTCAGTCCCTACAGTTTGACAGTAAACCAGTGTATTTTCTACATAACTTTTGCCTGGACACTTTTTCTGCATTCTACTCCATAGCTGGCAACTTGAAGAAAGGCTCTCGCTTCCTACTTGATGAAGAAGAGTTGAGACCACAAAACAGATTTGTTGTAATGTATATTCTTACTTACCAAATGGACTTCTGTCTTCTCTGAACTGGACGTACGACATGCACATGATAGTGGCCTGATTTGTTACTCTTCCCACTACTTCAAGAACTCCGGAGATCTCTTCATCTAGCTAGAAAACATACCAAAAATGAAATCACTATTACCAAATTAGCTGCTGTCTCTCCTGTATGGCACTTGAGCTAGTTCAAGGATTGTTCATGACAATAGATTTCGTTCCATGTCAAACAATACAGTACTATTCAACATCCCTGCCCCCCTCCCAGAACACCCCACAAAAGCCTTCAGCCACTTAGAGACTGGCAGTTTTTGTAACAGGCAATTCAGTACCAACTCAAAAATATTAGAAAGAAACATCAGAGGGAAGATACCACTTTGTAAGTATATAAACTGTGTCATTTGATCACTGAGCAGAGACTAATTGAGGACAGAAAGAGCAGAGGAATCCAGATTTTAATGCATTGCATTCAAACCCAAGTAAATTACTGAACTCTAAGAGCTAAGGAGGTATCACGCATACCAGAGAGCAATTCCAGTATTCCAGGTTCAGGAGGTGTAATCGGAAATGATTTCCTAAGTAACCTGTCAGTAAGTGTTGAGAATACAAAGACATTGACAATACAAGCCTTTTGTTGAATAAGACAAAAAAAAAGGCTAAAAATGTTATCTCACTCCTAAATCACATAGCTTGAGCACATTCTCTTTTTTTATTAAGACACCCATTTTAAAAGGGCAGTACTATCAGTAGTTTTCTTCCAATATCTAATTCTTACTTTTAACTTTCTACTAAGTTTCCCAGAACGAGGCAATAGATTTCCTCCTCTCCCCGTAATTTTGGGGTTCTCCATTGAAAGGAGGAACTACACACAGGCAAACAAAGCAATCTGTTAAAGAGCTGGGGGAAGGAAATTATACAGCATCTTAATCAGCAAATCTAGAATTTCCTCCATTTACATCAGGCAAACCAGAGGGATTAACCCTCCATGGTTTTTCTGCACACACCACTTCCTCTTCCCTTACACAAAGGCACAGCAGTAAGGAATGCAGACTCTGAAGTGCCCCACACTGCAGCTATGCATTTATGAAATTCACCCATTTACTCTGTCCCAGCAAGTTGTGGAATCCTTGGTCAGATGCTGACATCCGACGCTTTGACAGGAATTCTTAAGGCAGGAATCCTATTCACGAGCTCAGTAAAGCGTTAAGAGGCAAACAGAATGTGCAGGAAAGATTTTCTTGCAGTTTGACATTGAAGTCAGCAAGCTTCACATTTGTAAGACAAAACTCTTTGCCAGATCAAATTGCATTTTTCATCAACAAGGAGAAACTCCAGGCTTGAAAGTCAGAGAGTACCATGTGCAGTTATTTCACACAGAAATGGCAAGATTTCTCAGCATTTAACAACTAAGATGAAGAGAGAAAGATCCAGAGAAAAAGACAGAAAGATGACACACATGTTCAGTTAAGCTACAGTATTTGCCATCATAGCAAAAATAATCCTTAATTACAACAGCTGCTAGAGGAAAAAACAACACTTAAAGACAGAAGAGAATGCCATGGTGTCATTCCTTTAGCGGTACGTGATAATAAAGGAAGCAGTATTTTTGTGCAGTAGTTATAACTTATAGCCATTACATTAATTGCCTTTTTTTTTTTTAAAGAAAAAGAATGCTTCCAGCTAACTATGAGGTTTGCTGGAATGCTGTAACAAGTGTTCTAAGAGGATACAGAAATGTCAACTCAAAACACTTGAGAATACCATATTCTTGGGGTTTTTGGATTATCTTCACAATATATTCTGCTAAAAGCAGTAAAAGGGAAGAAAAAATGAAATTAAAATAAAGCTAATACATGTAGTGGAATACATTACACTGTAAACAACGAACAGAGTTAGACAAAGTAGCCAGACAGGGAAGTGTCTGACAAAGAAAGAGCTCTGTCTCTTAACATCAGCTGAAAACTGACGAAGACCAAGGCAGCTCATGAATGTGAAGACTGCAAGTTAACTGGAAGATGCAAGGAGCAGAGACAATGAAACATTGGTGGAAAAGGGAGAAACCAAGGTGGTTTGTTTTTTTTTTCCCCTGGATAAAAACTCAATACATACAAGACACACAGATTTCAAAATGAGGCAAAACCTCAGAGAAAAACGTTTTCTTTATTTCCTGACTAAAAAAAAAAAAAATCAACACGTGCAAGGCATGTACAGGTTTCAGAAAGGGCAAACCCTCCGGTGTGCACAAGAAGCAACATCAAGTATTTCTAAAGTATTCCTTAACTTACAGGTTCGTTCATCTCCACAGTCGCATGTTTTCCTTCCCCATCCGAAAGCACGAAAAGCTTCCCCGTAGGATGAATCTGCAAAAGACATTAGGCCTGTGGGCTCCAGAGGCAGCTGCGTTACAGCATCCCGCCTTAACCACAGCCATGCAGCGGGC